GAAATATAAGATTTTCATTTCGTTTAATAAGTGTATTCAAAGGTTTTTCTTCTCGTTAAATTCATCATGGTTACAATTTTTAGTCAATGGTATCTCGACCCTTTTTAATTATACATTATTGTGATTGGCAACCAAAATACCAGTGTACATGCATATACATAAAATTTGTATTTTCCCCAAGGTTTCTACATACTGCATACTGATTGTACAGATGTAGATTGATTATGCTTGCATGAAATTTGTACAAATCTGGCTCTACTTCCTCTGCTTGAACTTATTGGGGCATCAAAAGCCATTGTCTTTAATGGCAAAATGAGTTTGTCTCGGTACCCTTTGATATTGTTTTTTCCTATTTACTATGACCATTTAAAAAAATGTGGAAATGAGTGCTCTGTCAATTCTGAAGTTAAGCTCTGTACTTATCAAGTGACTTCTTAACTCGGTCTGCTTGCCTAATCTTAGTGCTTATCTTGTGTTTCTTAATCGCTTTTTGTTTTTAAATTAATTTTAAAGTGGCTGAACTCGCATCTTTTTGTAATATTACTAATAATGTCTGGCTCGTGCTTTGTATGCAGGGTTATTGAGATTTTAATTCTATATAATGACAGAATCTTGGCAGTTAATCTGACTCGCACAGATTGACAAGGTTGCAAATAACCCCCTTAAATTATGACATCAAAATTAAATAATAGAAAGCTGAATATATGAGATATTTGTTGGAATAACAAAATTGATTTGTGCATTCTATGTGTAGCCTTTAAATTCCAATGGTTAGTAGCTCTCCTTAGCAGCTCTTTGTACACCTTTCTGTTGTTAAGGTTGTTTTGACAGTACTAATGGTGTTTCTCTCAGATAAATAGTTACCAGCCTATTTTCAATTGCATTCCATAACTGCAGTATTTCCCTGAAGCAATAACATTTTATTTGGAGGAGTAGAATGGTTATTCTGTTCTGTATGCTTAGTCAAATGATTATTTAATGCTAATGCCAAATTTAACCACTGTAAGTGAATGCTTGTGTGAGGCTTGAATTGGGAGGATAATCTTCTCGAAAACATAAGTAGTCAACCAAACTACTGTATAAAAATTAGTTTTATTATCCATGAAATGCTGTTTGAAGTAACTTGAAGTAATTTCTTTGTTCTTGTGAACTGATGAAATTATGGGATTTTTTTAACGAGCTTCAGGAATTAAATTGCGTTAACCCTATATTCTGTTTACCACATTCCCCCTTCCAATATTAAGGAGGGACTCTCGTATTAGTACAAGGAGGCGTCAATTTATAATAAAGATGGACAGAATGCTTCGTCACACACCCTTCACTAAAGTGCTAAAACAATCTTAGCAAGCAGTTTTACTATCAGTCTTACTTGTATTTTGTTGCATTTAGTCATTTCTCTTGTAGGACAGGAATGGATCTAATGGTAAATATTTTTGGTATCAAACTATACTAATTCGTCACTGAATAAATAGCTAAGTTAATCTAACTGGTAGCTAAAATGTTAATAGTAATTTGTATTTTACACTGATGTTTTCTGATTAGTCAACTACAGGATTACGATTGTGAAATTGTTTCGTTACATTTAGAAAAGAAATGTCATCTTGTGAACATATTTTAGCTGAAAATATTGCCAGAAAGGCACTGTAAATGCTTAACAACATGCAAAGGAATCCAATTTTATCATTTTTATCTAGGCTGTGATTATGTTACAATCAGTTGTTTTCTATTCTATTTTTAAATCCAGTATTGAATTCAAACGATACTAGACTGAAATGCAGTTACAAGATAGGTTAATATATGTACTTTGTGAAAAAGTGGCAACGTTTTTTGTATGATAATGTTAAAAACCTGTGATATTGTTGAAGCTATTTAAGCCCTGTTTATTTGTGCATATCCCCTATTACAATCACTTTACCCAATCTTCCTTTTTGTTCTTACTATTATTGGTAAATTTATCTATTACCTATTTCATTTCCCACATGTGGAGAAATTTTAGAATTTTATTTTCAATGAACACAAACTCATGACAAGACCTTACTACCTGCCCTCTGAATCTCAAAGGGGAGGTGGATGTTGTTGGCTCATATGTGAAAATAGTCTCTACTGAAAAATAAGACAATTATAACACTTGTACATAAACCCTGTGCTATCCTATCCATAGAAACAGAAAAGTTGCTTGAACTTTGAATTGGCATGATTTTGAGGGTTCAATTACAGGTGATGTGCCACTCAATTGTAATAGAAATATCAATTCAATAATCTAATGCTTGGGTCGTGTTGGTTATTCATTACCATTTTTAATGGAATTGACCAGTGTCTTGTGCATCTCCATCTGTACATGCCTGTATTGATTAAATTCAAACTTAAATCGTACATCTTTCGTTTCTCAATCTGATTCAAAAGGGCCTGGTTATGTATTGACAGATTACCTTCAAACTTGGTACAGTACATGCAATAGACATTATGGGACCTTAATGCATGTAATTTTTTTGTTTTAGTGAATGCAGTTTTGGAGCCATATTTCTGACATGCACTGACCATTTATCTTCAAACTTCATACATTTCCTAAATTTGAGAACTCGCTGGGACTATGTAATGCAATTACTTCTATTTTTCTTTTTTTATCCAGACATCACTTGCACGTTCCTGTGGTAATTACAAGAAATAACTCAATGACCCGGTTGGCAGAATGGTCGATCGCGCGGGGCTAGCCAGTAAGGGGAAGGATGGAAAGACTAAATATGCTTCGCTTAATTTGTATAATACTTATAAAGGAAAGAGTTTAGAAACCCATAAAGCATCAGGTAATGTTTTCACCCCTCTTTTCATTGTTTTCTTGATCCATGTTGAAAGTCAGTTTGAACTTTAATATTTAATATCTATGAAAGACAGAAGAATACCTTATTAATTTCAATTTGTATTAAAATATCAGGGCTTGAAATTCATGACGGTTACAAGCTTGTTTTTTTCCCAATTGTCAGCCAGTGTGCCCCCAAAAATCAATTCTTCATAATCAAATTGAGTCATGAAAAAAAATTAAATTGCATGTGACTGTATTCAAAAACGTTGTTGCCCTCTATCTTCTTTGTTTTTGCACTAATTTTGTTTATTAATTGTGAATTTAATTTTATCAAACTCCATATAACTATAGTGAGATGTTTTTTAAGATCACTATAACAATGTATAATTTTCTGTTGTGTCAATGATGAGCCCGTGAGATTAGCACGGCAAATGTTTGTGCGCCAGTGGTACGTCATATTGGCTATGAGGGCAAACTGTTTGGTGTCCTCACAAATACCCAAATTCAAGCTAAAATAATTCTGCATTGAGAATAAATAGCATGTAAATTCTTTTTCACTTGAAGATACTTTACCAGCATAAAGCGTTACAATAATGTACTATGTGTTAATAGAGAACTAGATAGGAAAGTGCATCAGGTGGAACATCTAAATTTTGCAGGGGTCATTGTAGTTTTGCTGAAGCAACAATTAGAATGCATTATTCATGCTACTGCTTTCTCTATCCAGTCAGCCGAGGACATGGCTTGCAAAGTCTTGGTAAAGTTAGCAATACTCGGCGTATGCCACCACCAGCCAACCTACCTAGTTTAAAGAGTGAGCACAGTGGTAACGATCCTAACGTTAATATAGTACCTTCTGGAGGATCAGGATGGGGTTCAGGAGGCAAAGAAGAGAAGAAAGCAGACAGGTACAGTAGTTACTTAGCTAATATGGTTTGTATTGAATTGAGTTTTCATCAGTATTTCAGTGAGTAGTATGTGTTATCTTGTCTACATATCATTTACCTTGTGAGATAGATACTGATGCAATAAATGGTTCTTTAAAAACCCAAATGTTAGAAGAATCTTAGCAAAGGCAGTTACAGCCTGTAGTGTGATGAATGATTGACATTGCTGTAATCGATAACTTGCTTCCCATTGGACATTTGTCTAAACAGGAACTCGTGTTTTGGGTTCCATTCATATGTTGTCATTTCCAAAGGACAAACATAATGATGTAAACATGCATGTCTGTTTTATGTCTTGTCAATTGTTAACCAATTGTTGAAAAAACACTTTGTCAACAATTGCTCAGGCTTGGTTGGTAGATTTTGTTCAAACTTGGTATGAACATCATACATGATAGGTTACTGATGTACATCAGCTGGTTTAGTGATCTGATTCAATTTGGTTGACTGCCAGCTGAAGTTGGTACGAAGACGAGTCATAATTGTATGAATCAAAAAAGTATGAAGTTTTTAAGTTGTATGTACAATATTATTTGTGTTCTAGTTCTGGAGGTCAGCCACCAGAGACACAAGCAGCAGCAGCAGCAACTGCTACATCATCACAGGGGCAACAACAAAATCAACAACAACAACAACAACAGCAGCAGCAGGCACAATCGCAACAACAAATAAATACACAGAAGACTCCACAAGAATCAACACAGAACAAATCTTCAACTTCTTGGGTCTCAGTCGCAGGGGCTCAAGGAGATACGAAACGTAAGAATCTATTTTTTTGCACTTTGCACTTTTTTAACACACTTGTCCCCGAAACATAACAGTAATCAAATTAGATTTTGTTAGATCGATATCATCTGTTCTTCTTTCTCATAATAAGAGAATAAACTACATTGGCACAAAATCTTTATTGACATGGTATTTAAGGTAGATAGTATATATATCCATTGGCATTCAATCACACCATAACTAAAAAGTGTCAGAGCTATAAAATCAAGTAACATTGTCTTTGTGAATTGCATTGAGTTTCATGCTAATAGGATAACTGTTTTGATGGCAAAAAACAAGTCAAATAGCCATGTGTTGAATAACATTTTCCTCTTTACAGCGAGGGGCAGGGGAAAGAGTCGGAGTTCAGTCTTCAATCAAGAATTCCCATCACTAGGCAGCGGGGATGTACCTGCGGAATCCGACCAAAAAGCAACAAACAAGGAAGCACAATATGGTCCTGGACCAAGCCTAAGACCACAGAGTAAGTCTAATCATTCACTAAGTCTTCCATGAAAGCTTGTTGCCAGCTGCTGTTACCATGATTACTCAACACTGTTTCAAGTCTTGTACCATGGGAGAATTCTGTAATGGAATAATGCTGTAACAATCAACTGAATTTTGCACAATATTGTGCAGTTGAAGGCAATAGTGATTGTCAATCAGTTCCCCACATTGCCTGCTGAATGTTTTTTTTGGATAGCTAAAATGAAAAGGAAAAATGGTGTCGGCAGTCAATATGTTGAACAATTTCACTATTCTGAAATTTGATATTCACCAGAATTTAAGTTAAGATTTTCTAGTGAAACGGTTCTTTTATAATTTCACAAAATTTCAAAGTTTTAATTTAATAAATTTCACTCATCAATAAAAATAGCACTTACAACAGTTACTAATTAATGAATTTATAGTGCTATTCGATGAACAGCCTGTCAAGCCGATGAAATTATGTACCTATGCTTATCTGTATATTGACTGCCGTTTTCAGATGTTGGAAATTGGCGAGAAGGCGGAGGGTCAATAAACAAAGGCAGTGCAAGTGTGGACACTGGAGGAGACCAAGGTGGCGGTCTAAAGCAAGATAGAGGAGACAAGGACGAGAGAGAAAATGTTACACCCAGTGGTAATATTCCACCACGTATGGGCATGAACGGTGCTCAAGGTGGTCCAATGCAGGGACCACCACCACAATATAGGGGCATGATGCCCCATTACATGTATAGAGGCGGTTTTCAGGGAGGTCCACCCCCAGGAAATTATCCACCCAATATGCCAGGCATGCAGGGGCATCCAAGACATCCATATCCACAAGATCCTAGGTAATTTAGTCTACATTATATCATTTAAGTTTGTGTGAGAAGCCACATGATGTAATTTGAAGTCGCAGCTAATGCTATGACGACTTGTATCTATCACCCATTGCTGATGGCTTTATTTGGTATTGGAAAAAAAAATTACGGTGTTACATTTGTGTGTTGGGTATTGTGTACAAAATCTAATGTGTATATATATATATATATATATATATATAGTGTAGATACAATAGTCGATTATTCCAAAACAAAAGTGCTCAATACAAAGTATATGTAGAGCGGGTGAATACGGTGATAGAAGAATTAATACACAACTACATGAATATTGAAACTCAACAGCACTGTTTCGTAAGGTACAAGTAACCTCACTTATCAGGAGCTTTATGCTTAATCATTCAATGCACCGAAGAGCATACATTATAAGCTTCGCAAATTAACATATTAATTAAAATTAAATAGAAAGTTTAATTGTTACATATTAAGCTTTTGGTCTGTGTCGGCATAATGACACAAGTTCATTTCTTTTGTTTAATGTGGAGTGGTGGGGTCTAAAAATTAAGATGAATTTGAAAGAAAAATTACATGTATA